CTCCCGTTGGTTCAATTTAAATAGAAGACAATCAACTTCATTGCAATGAAACATGAAAATACATTTCTCTAGTTTAAGAGCATTCCTTGATCTTTATCTTTTCTCTGAAAAATTGGTCACTTTGATGCAAAATTCATCAGAGATTTAAACTTTAAACACAAAATTCATAGAATTATAATATTGTTATCATCAACGTTGGTCAGAAAATAACAATACCATAATTTCGCTTTAAACTTAAACTCATAAATAAACTTATAATATTGTTATCATCAACGTTGGTCAGAAAATAACAATGTTATAATTTATCTTATCTATCAACCGACTATTCCTCCAATTAAAATTTTTCTAGCTGGTTCTAATTTTAACTGGAGAATAAACTTTTCATCATTTACTGAATAACTATAACTACTCTTCAAATTAGAAGACAATAAACCTTCAACTTTGCAGCGGAAACTTGACAAAATTTCTTTTCCTACTTTTCAGAAGCATTTTTACTTTACTCATCTGTTCTCTAAACAAATTATCACGTTGGATCAAATTTGAGTAGAGATAAAACATTTAAACTTAACTTTATTCATTCAAAATAGCTTCTGAAAAATAAAATAAAATGATAAACTGAAAACTCTCCTTCTTGTTCATTTGGCCCGAGGCTGCTTGGCCCAAGGCTCGATCGCTTGTCCGCCCAAGAACCCAAGCCTACAAGAGACCAGCCCCTCAGGCTCAGGCCGAGAAAGTGGCATCCCGCCTGGGCCACCGAGTGGCTCTGGTCATTCCACGCCGTCGGATCAAATCCGACGGCCGTCCGCCTGCTTCGTTCCGATCAAAACCCCCCGCCATGTCAGCCTCCTCTGAACCCCTAGCCTCATTTCTTTCTCCCTTCTCTCTCGCGTCTCTCTCTCTCTCGCTGCAGCAGCACGGCAGCCGAGAGCAGCCACGGAGGAGAGAAAGCGAAGACGGCGCCACCATGGGGCCCTTCTTGCTTGCTGGCGCGCCTCCCCCGCGAGAGAGCGCGCCGCCGCCAGCGCTCCGTGTTGGCGCCTGCACCAGACCCGCCAGCGGATGCACCTCGGTGACCACCGCGCTGTCCGGTCTTTCCACACGACGGCGGAGATGGCAAATGATGAGGTAAGCCACCGGCCTTGCTTTTCCCTTTCCCCGCTTCGCTTGTTTGGATCTTGCTTGCTCTTCTCGGTTTTGACCGATTGGGATGGGGATCGAGTTAGGGTTAGGATTCACCCTTTTCTTCTTCTTCCCGAGTCAGAGGCGGGTTAGGGTTCGGATCTCATCGCTCTCTTGAATCCGAGCCCTCTGCTTCCATCTTCACCCGCTAGGGTTAGGGTTAAGGAACCCTTTACATGCCTTTCGAGATCCGAAGGATCTAATCCGTTCTTTTCCTTTGCTGTTCTCTTGATTCTCTTCCCGCGCGATGGCGGTTGCGACGGCGACGAGAGAACCAGGTAGGTCCCTCCCCTCCGTCCATCTCTCTGTGTTCATTTAGGGTTAGGGTTAGGGTTACGGGTACCCCTCCCCTTCTCTCTCTTTTCTTTTTTTCTTGTCCCCAATCTAGATCTACGAACTAGACTGGGATTTTAGGGTTTCGATTCCTCTTTCTTGATCCATTGTTAATTACTTTGAATCATCTACTTCTCTGTTTTTCTTTCTATTTCTTTCCCCGAGATCTGGTCGCGGGTTTAGGGTTCGATGAACCCTTTGTTTTTCTTTTCTTTCGATCCAAATCGGATCTAGCTCCGTTCTGTTCTTTTCTTTGCCCCGATCTAGATCCACATACGGCCATACTAAACCCGCTCTGGTACCATTGTTGGATCCTTTGGGACCATCTAGGAGTGGATCCAAAGGGGTTTCATTGGGTTTCTCGTAGTAATGGTGTGAACAGAGAGAGAGAGAGAGGGAGAGGAAGAGCTAGGGTTAGGTAATCGACCATCCATTGAGTAGGGATCCGCCATCGTGTTCATCGGTGAAGTTCAGCGCTAAGCGGCAGGGTGAAGAGAAGCGACGCAGATGAAGACCGTGGTGGCGCAGCGGCGCGGCGGCGGTGCTTCCTGGGCTGCGCCCTCTGTTAGATCGGAGTAGGGTTTCTAGGTGGGCGACGGCTCAGCGAACCTCGTCTGAGAGAGCCGTCGACCCCACCTCTATTTAATCTGCGATGTGTGGGGGGCCCGCCAAATACCATAGATGGATCGGGCGCCCGATCGTGGCGCGAGGTCAAGGCCCAAGTGGCCGTTGGGCCACTGTGGTTGGGAGATCAAACCAACAACACCCACACGCGTACCCGCATACCCGATGGGTACAAGAATTCGTCCAATAACATACCCGTGGGTGCAAAATGTCTTCCATACCCACCTCCTTATCGGGTAAAACCCGTCGGGTACTCGGGTATCCGTTGCCATCTTGACGCACGAGCCAAACAGTTCGTTGCAGGGAGGCGCGTATCCAAGGAGGTCTGCCTGCTGTTCTGCAGCAAGGGGCGGGTAGTTCAGGTCAGCTCACCCCCGTTGGAGACTGCAGCAGTCGTGTCTCCCGGCTCCTGTCGACAGCGTGCAAAAACGTAGACGCAGGTCATGCATTGCAGCCGGACTGCAAGGGGGAAACGGTACACGTTCACGGACGAGACAGCACCCGCGAGTTTGTTGTCTGAATTTCGAGTCCCCTGCAGACACGGGATTAGTGTGGTCCCGCATGGTTCACAAAATAACGACCCCCCTCTCAGTGACTGTAGATTGCGAATCTTGAACAAACATTGTTAAAGTCTTAATTAAAGAACAATGCTTTGCTTGATTAGGAGTCTCGCGCCCACCAATTTCGCGAGGGTTTAACAGATCAATCCATTTTTTTGGGGGTCTGAAGATTCGCACAGTGGTTTAGAAACAGTGTGGTTTCTTTCTCATCCTCATCGTCATCGAGGATCGATGGATCAGTTCCATGAGACTCTCAGTTTCTTCCTTCCCCCATCATAGCTTACCTCCTTCGCTCAGTCACAATGAGTGGCATTCTCGATCAAAACACGGACTCGATTGCCCGAGCAGAGAGAGGTACTCTCTACTCTTTCAGTTCTTCTACAGCTTCTGCCTGCCACAGTGAGTGGCACCCACCGAAACGAAGCAAATTTTCCCTCCCCTCCAGCCTCCCGGCAGCAGCGGCAGTCAAGAATCAAGATCCGCGAAATCCTACGCATCGCTCGGGCTCCATCATTGCACCCGCAGGCCTCTGCAGTTTTGTCATCAGCACAATGCCGTGCAGCGCAACAACTTTTTTTTTTAACAATTCTAGAATATTTTTCGCGCAGCAGGAGACAGAAAAAGTTTTCCCACGGGCCCATGATGGTGGCCGCTGTGGCCCCCCACGCCGCGGACCTCAGCTGTCAGCTCCTCCTCACTCCTCAGCTGCTGGGAGTGAGACAGATGCACGCTGGGGCTGGGCGCGCGCGGGCAAAAGGCCCCGCCCGGCCGCCCGCCTCGGATTCGCCGCTGATGCTGACGACGATGCACGGCACAAGTCGTAGCTTTTGCCTGCTAACTTTTGTTTTAGTTACAGCCGGGACAAGGTTAAAAGACCTGACCTGGATGAAAGCCAGCCAAAGGTCAGACTAAACAATGCGTTTCCGGCCTCTTTCCGTCGCCAAAGCGGGTGTAGCTTTGGGCCATTCTCGCGGCCTTTTCCCCCCGGCCAGCCTCCCACGCAACGCAGGTGACGGCCGCCCAGTCCGCCAGACCCAGACGGGGAAGGAAGGAGCAGCAACAGGGCAAAGGGCGCTGCCTGCGTGCGAAGTGCAAAGAGGGGCGGGGGAAAAGAGACGAGCAAGCACGGACGGAAATGGCAGCGGGCGCGGGAGGTAAACAAAGCCGAAAGAGATGGGCGCAGCGCGTCCGTTCCCCAGGACGGACGAGGAGCGACGAGACCCCTCAGAATCACGCACAGATCTTTGTCTTGGTCACCCTCACCGTACCACGATCGCTCCCTCCCCCATCTCGCCGCCACCGGCTCCATCATGACGACGCGACGCGAGGCGGGGGGACCCCGGCCTTTTCCGTGATCCCGTCCCGTCTCGTCTCGTCTCCCTCAGGCCTCAGCACTCCACAGGCAGTCAGCCAGGCACAGACACGGCCTGGGCGCCCCTGGGTGGCTATGCACTTGCACGGCGCGGGCGAGTGACCAGAGTGTACGTGCTCCTCCTGGCAGGCAGATGAGATGAGATGTGACTGCAGGTTTCGTACTGGCACCTCTTACACGCTGCACAGTGACCTGCAGCACCAGTTGACCGTTGTCTTGTAATGCAATCTGACGCGAGATTTGGAAGACGAAACTCGACGACGAAAGACGATTGAGCGGGAAAAAAAATCAACCATGCACCGCGAGGTTATCAGTTTCATCAAAATGCATGACAATTGAGACAACGAACGAACATGTTGAGATTTGCATAAGGCTGAGCACCTAGCTACAGGTAATTACAGGTCCTGTTGCAAGTCTCTTGTACAAAGCGTCGAACCAAAAAGAGAGAAAACTGAATGAATGAACAAAAAAAAGTGGTGAAGAGACAGATCCACGCTTGTATATGGGGGAGGTGGCTAAAGGAGCCTAAAAGGAGCTCTTTCCCCACGCCTAAAACCACGAAAAGAACTCGCTCTCACACATAAACAAGGCCTAAAGACGCTCGCTCGCTCGCTGATTCAACCGACCGCTGCATGTTCTTGACGAGCCTTTAGCGATTCGTACTTGCGGCGGGCGGCGGCAAGTTCGTCGTCTTTTCCTCGCGTCCTTTGCGAAATTCAGCGCGAAGCTTCGGCCGCCGCCTCCGGAGTCCCGGAGCGGCGGAATGGCGGGCATGGCAGATGGCGAAACCCGGCGTCGTCGTCGTCGACTCGACGCTGCTCACGGCCCTGGGTCACTCCGCGATCGCACCAGCGACGTGTCCACCTCCGAGACGGACGCTGCAATGAAGAAACGCAAGTGGCGCGCGCGCGCGTCAGCTTGGGCAGACAAATTTAATGGAGGAGGCACGAGACGCGCGGCCTGGTCGGTGGCGTCAGCATTACGGCGTCGGCAGATGTACCTCGGTGGAGGGACTGCTTGCAGTGCGCGATGGCGCTCGCGATGCCGTCCTGCTTCTCGACGAGCGAGTCGTCGCGTCGGGCCGACGGCGGCGACTGGTAAGGGGCGGATGCCGCGGACACCTGCGTCGTCGCGGAGGCCGAGCGGCTCTTCCGTAGCCGGAGGTCGGCGCCGGGAGCCGCCACCGCCACGCGCCGCAGCCGGCTCGAGATCTTGCTCAGGTAGCGCCGGATGACGTCGCCGGAGGGCGGCGGCCTGACCTTTCCCTCGTCCCGCAGCAGGGCCTGGTGGTCGGGCGAGCCGTACCCGCCGCCGTACGAGGCGAAGAGCCTCGCGGAGCGCGCGCTGCTGGTGCTCTGGGAGAAGCTGGCGCGTCCGCCGTAGAAGGCGGCCTTGGCGGACCCGAAGCTGAGCGTCCGCAGCTGCAGCCTGCCGCCGCCGCCGCGCCGGCTGCTGGCGCTGCTGTGGCGGGCGCGCGACGCGGCGTCGCTCGGCTCGGACGCGCAGAACATGAGCGGCGGCGGGCCGGGCGCCGTCGGACGACGCGGCGGTGCGGCGCCGCGGAAGAAGAGGCGCTCCTCGTAGGAGGGCGACGCGGAGCGGCTCCGGCTACGCTGCAGCGAGATGACGAAGTCGAGGTCCCCGCGCGCGGCGGTGGCGGCGCAGGACGAGGTGGTGTCCTCGGACTCGGAGCCCGACGACTCGGCCGCCTGGCTGCCCGCGCTGGACGCGGGCGCGGAGCAGCAGGACAGGTCGAGGTCGAAGAACGGGCCCTCGTCCTCCTCCTCGCCGTACCCGTACACGTACACGCCGCCGCCGCCGCCGCGAGGGGTCACCGGCGCGGTCGCCGCCGTCGCGGTGATCGTGGACACCGCGCGGCGGCGGCGCCGGAACCGCCGCGCCGCGAGCAGGCGTAGGATCTGCATGGCTATACTACACCTACACGCCCGTGCGCTCTCTCGGAGACTCGGACGTGCGTGTGTGGGCGGGAGGCAGCACGAGCACGGTCGCGCCGCTTTGGCTGCGGTGGAGTGGGAGGGTGGGGCGTTTGGGGTGGTGAACTGGTGGTGGGCGGTGGCTTTTAAACGGGAGCGGCGAAGGCAGTGGAGGTGGTGACTGGTGGAGCCGGACGTGTGGCTTACCAAAGGCTCTCGGTTTTTTCCTCCGTTTTTGGCGGTGTTTGTGGGGGGTGGCAGTGTGGCACGGCACGGGGATTTGGCCACTTGGCTACATCTACGGACTACGCGCGTTCGGCTCGGCGTGTTTGGGGTGCGCTGCACGGGCCCTGCCTAGCGAAGCGGTTTGTTGTATCGGGCATGGACGCATGGTTCATGCCAAGGTCTTTACCTCACCGGCGAATCGTGGGAGTTGCCAGCGACCAAAGTAGCGCCGGTCCTGCTTCGGCACTTGGACTAGGCTGCACGGAGAAACTCTGCGTGCGATGTTAGCAATTAGCATCATCAGTCAGGAGGCATGTCAACGTTTCGGGGTTTTTCCTTTGTCTCTTACTTACCAACCCGAAATCCTGAAGATGTCTACTGCTTACCATTTGACGATCTTTAATTCTTCGTTTTCTTTCCCACGGTGGAATTCTGAAGCACTAGCAAGCAGTGACACCCACCACCAACTTACAGTCGAGTGACCGTGACGCAAAGTTGATATTTTGACAAATTGCGCAGGCGCACATTTGGGATCGCTGAAGAAGGGGGTATTTGTCAAGCACTAGAGCTGTCAGATAGATTTTGATTTGTGAATTGAAAAGGGTGGCTTATCGTCCACTCGCGATCCAGATGGACGCAACAGGTACGTACACCATGCACCATATCACCTTTTTTTTTTTTTTTGAGGGAACATGCACATGCACCATATCACCCATGGAAGTGAGCAATCACATTGCTCCATTCTCGCCAGCACACTGGCAGCATGGGGGGCCTGGGAGGCTGGGACCATGTGTGGCCGGACGGGGGCCAAAAAATGCAAGACCTAGCTAGCAGATCACACAGAAGTCCAAAGAAGTCTGTGAAACGGCCATAAGTGACTGCCTGGAGGGTGCAGTGCCGGAAAGCGCGTCATGGCGCGACCTTTTACAGCCCTTTACACCAGCGGTCCTCGATCCCTTCTTCCTACCAGGCCTGAGGCGGTGAGGCCTCCTCGCCCGGCTCCCGGGCGGTCCAACCAACCTACAGTAGTCACAGGTCAAAAACTGCAATTAGGCCGTGTTTAGATTGCCTCAAAATTCTAATTTTTTTCACTCTCTCTTCATCACATCAATTTTTAGACGCATGTATGGAGCATTAAATGTAGGTAAAAAAAATAATTAATTACATAGTTTGGTTGTAAATCACGAGACGAATCTTTTGAGCCTAGTTAGTCCATAATCTGATAAAGTTTGTCAAATACAAACGAAACATGCTACAGTGTCCAGATTACACAAATTTGCAATCTAAACCGGACCTTATTTGGATTGGCCGGGCCAGTCGTCTGTACGTACTATACAACAAACGCCTCCGGACTCCGGGGGCCCAAGTCAGGATAGGAATGGGTTCCGTCATTCTGTGCAGTACTCCCTACTCCATGCACTCGTTCTGTTCGGACAGAGGTTTCAGCATTGTTTTTAAACACCCGCTTCCAGTGTTAAGTACCGTACGAGGTAAGCATATAGGTCCTGTTTACATGCAACCCAAAACCTAAAATTTTTCAAGATTTCCTATCACATCGAATCTTGTGGCATATACATGGAGTAATAAATATAGACAAAAAAAAAACTAATTACATAGTTAGCCAAGAAATCATGAGACGAATCTTTTAAGTCTAAATAATCCATAATTGAACAATTTTTGCTAAATACAAACAAAAATGCTACAATAGCCAAAAAGTAAAAAATTTTCGGAACTAAACGGGGCCATAGTGGCGTTCCTTGCTTGTTTTGTGTTAAGAAAGATGTGACGTGATGGATCATATGTGAGGACTTTAAGCGTCTGGTTTTGTCGCTCCGCGTCACGTCAGGTCGGCTGGACCGAACCCCGTGCAAGTAGAGGGCGCGTTTAGATCTATTTTTTTTTTTTTGAATTTTGACTACTGTAGCACTTTCGTTTATATTTGGTAATTAGTCCGCGTCACGTCTAATTCAGGTCGGAAAGTTTCGGACTCGAATTTCTTACCCAACTGCAAGTATTAGAGGTTTAGCCTCCACGTCCTCGCCGCCTGAAGATTCGATGTAATAGATACTGCGCAAAATTTTTTAGATTTTGGGTGGAAAGCCCTCAGTCTGGATAGAGGGTGGGAGTGGCACGGCGACGCCATACCGTAGCAATTTTTGGGCCTCTTTGGCTCCCGGCCACCCAGCGCCACGTCCCTGCTGTGGCGGCGCCATACTGCGTCGTGTGGAAAAGCAACATCACAACTGTGGTGAGAAAATTACTTAAAATAAATTGAGAATCGTACGACGTAGCAAACCTTAGTTAGAAACCAAGCAGCCTTGCTTTTCATGTGACCGCCTAAGCCTAAGCGAGGCGAATCAAGGCTGACAACTAAATCATAACACTAATTATAAATCACAACAAGGCCACTACAACGTACTATCACTCACATAAGAAGTCTGGTGCTTCAACCAACCAAAATCACGCGTGCTTTGAAGAACGTCCGATGGCATCGGCTCATTCGGTATTTGAACTTTGAACTATTTCTTCAATAGGAAGATCCACACAGACAAAAATAGATGTACTCCCTCCATCCTAAATTATAAATTATTTTTATTTTTTAAAAGTCAAAACATGTCAAGTTTGATCAAATTTATATAATAAAATAATAATATTTATGATAACAAATAAGTATTATTAGATTCTTCATTAAATATATTTTCATAGTATACTGTTAGAGATTTAGGCAATTTCAGTATTAATTTAATCTAGAAAAACATTAAGAACAGGTTTGTGGCCTTATATATGTGTACGTGTGATCTAAGTGCCATAAACATGTAGATGATACTAATAATCATGATTTTAATCGTTGACGACAGGGAATGAATTAGAACATACCCAGCGGCACCAGAGCTGGTTGCGCTAATCGACATAGCGCCTGTTGGAGTAGTCGTCCCGCTCAATGCAGTGCAGAGAGGTTGCAGTGTTGATCTCCCGCCGCCGTCACGAATCGCTGGGAACCAGGACGGAGAAGCCTTGGATGCAGCGGAAGTGTGGAGACTTGTGTGCATTAGAGACTAAGCTAACTGAATGTTGAAGTGTTTCTTTCTTTTATCTCGGGCCAGCAAGGAGTGGAGAGGGTGCGATGCCAGCGAGAGAGGAAGCGAAGGAGGCGCGATACTACAGGAGGAAAACTCCCATAACCTTCCTCGTCTATTTCCACTTTGGGTGTAGAAACTCCCAAACTCCCGTCATTACCACATTAACTTTCCCAATTAGGGGCAGAAACTCCCGTCACTTAGTAACTCCCGTAACTCCTGCCCATAAATGGCTTGAGTGGCAAAACTTTTCATGTTCTGCACCGCGTGCGTCGTGTCGGCCATGGCATGGCACGGCCACACCTCCACTCAACCATCCAATGTAGGCAGACATAGCTCGCACATATAAGTCGAGTCAACATCCAGTCAATATCCTGTATGGGACTAAATAATATCACACACATTATTTAATACGGGCCTTAAAATTTATTTGATTTAATTAGATAATATATGGGCCTGGCCCACATTAAATCTAATAATCCCCACCAAATTCGAAGGCACATGTTAAATAATCTCAAATCTATATTTCTTTGATATACCAGAGTTTCAACGGAGACTGTTAAGTTGAACATCCTCTAGAACAGGGGTTACACTCATTCGCAACTGAACAATGGACTATACCTTGAATTGATAGTTTTGTGCGAATTGAGTTTCACCAAAGTTCTTTCATGGTACTAGGCTGCTAGAAGCATCCCCTCTGTTTTGAAGCATATAAGTCACACTTCGATGTCTTTCATGAGTATCTAGAGATTACCCACATCTCATAGACTGTGACTAGCAGTCGAACTCATATAAGTGTGTTCCTTCTAGAATGTTCTGTAGGGCAATATCCCTGCTTAAATAAACCACTCGGATCACATTAAGGAATTAGCCAACCTGCCATACAACATAGGAGAAACAATGCATCTCATAACGATTTGGACTTTAGTATAAGGGGTTTCTCCATCAGTCAACCACTAGCTTGTTTCACCATCCTACTTCATAGGATCTCCGATCACATAGGATAGGTTACCACTATGGAATGACTTCAAGTGGATCTCAAGCCCATCTCCCTCGATGCACCATCTATCACATTACGTGATAGTCCCTTTGTAAACTGATCTGCCAGATTCTTAGATATATGGACATAGTCCAACGCTATTACTCTGGAGTTTCTCGGTTTTCTGACAGATTTTAACTGCCTCTCACATGCCTTGTAGACTTCATGTTGTCCCTAGAACTATTCACTTTGATTATCACAGTTTGGTTATCACAGTTCATGGATATAACCGGTATTAGTTTTTCAACCACCGGTAAATCCATAAGGAGTTCACGAAGCCACTCAGCTTCAACTGTGGCGGTATCTAATGCTGTGAGTCCTGCTTCTATTGTTAACCTCGTTAAGATGGTATGCTTGCAAGACTTACATGAAACAGCGCAACCTTCAAGTGAGAACACATATCCACTTGTGGCGTAAATCTCATCAGCATCAGATATCCAATTTGCATCACAATAACCCTCTGGTACCCTTGGATACCCAGTATATTGTTTGCCATAGCTCATAGTCCCTTTTAGATAGCGCAATACCCTCTCAAGAGCACACCAATGATTATCTTCTGGATTTGAAACAAATTGGCTAACTTTGCTCACAGCAAATGAGATATCAGGCCTCGTTGCACTAGCTAAATACATAAGTGAGCCAATTATTTG